TAGGGGCTGTGAGAGGGCTCAATATGACCAGTGTCTAGCTGCTCTTGGACTAATTTATGTAATTGTGTTAATTTGTCTTTAGGAAGAGGCCACTGTTCCACCCATATGGGCTTATCTGTAAGCCATGTTAATTTGATTAGGCTGGGTTGTGGGATTGTGGGTGGTGGAACAGTGGCTGTTAGAATTGGGGGTGTCCCTGGTGAGGTTTAACTTTTTGTGGACAACCACATCCATGCCAGACATAATATCCCTGCCCCAGAGGTTGTTAGGGAACCCAGGCACTAGGAGTGGGCAACGTTGTCTTGCCTATTGCGTTCCGCCTGCTGCTCCCATTCATCCATTCATCCTAGTAAGTGGCCTTCCATAAGAGGAAGTCCCCTCCTGGTAGGCAGGCACGAGTGATCTGTTGCCAGTCTTAAGGGGTGTTTACTGCATGAATGATTGTATCCAGGAGCTGATTAAACCAAGGGGACCGAATGCCATCCTCAAGGGCTGCTTTACGTAGTTTTTGAAGAGTGTCATGGGGGTGTGGGGTCCAGGCACTTGGATTTTGTTGATCCTGAAATGTGACTGGGAAAAGTTGGGGCAGAGCTGCCCCGACCTCCAGTAAAAAAGGGAGGTCCGGGGGGGCTTCCATTCCTTTTTCCATCAGTCAGAAAGCTCCTTGGGGGGGTGTTATCTCCAGAGGGGGTGTAGAAGGGGGTGAATATTTGGCAGAGAGGGATAGAAAGGCTCTATTGTAACTGGTGCAGATGGAGCTGGTGGTTTTACTTTGTCTATGGTCAGGCCTAGAGGTTCCCTTTGTTCATGTGGCATAACCTTAAGATCTTCCTGGTCGCTGCCATGTTGCCCCCCGAGTCCTCGGCCGAGTCTGTCTCTTTGTGCAACAGGGTGGGGTATGCTGCTGCCTCCTTCTCCTCGGCCCCCATGTGGGAGTCTCTTTCTTAACAGTATCTTGCCATAATCACTAGCGTCAGGAGGGACCCCTCACAGTGAGGCCAGGATCGCAGTGACTATGGGGAAGAAGGTGGCACTGAAGGAGTGGCCCTCTCGGACCTCTGCCCTGCGGGTGGCATTAGATGATCTAACCCCAGACATCAGGGCCCCAGGCATGACTTGCCAATACCCAGGGGGCTACACTAAGGACCTCTTGGAGCACATGCTCCACCTGTGCAGTTGAAACTTTTACATGCCTACTCCTGGGGAGAGCTTTCAGAGCGGTTGCCTGAGGCTGTCACGAGATGGGTGGAAGTCCCCCCATACCAGAGAGCACTCACCCTGCCAGATGTGCTGATCGGGGGAGCCCCATGTTGGGTGCCAGGTGTTGCAATATTTGGGGTCTTCGGGGATTGGGGGTGAGGCAGTGGCGTAAGTTGGACGACATGCAGACATTGGAGACCAGGTTCTGTGACGCAGATCTAAAGTTTATTAGGAAGTGCAGCAGGCTTTATAGGGAATAGGTACCAATCACTGGGCTCCATGAGTGCCACCGTAGCCAATCACCTTAAAGGTGAGGCCAACCATCACTGAGACCCCACCACGAGGGACTGGGCAGGTTTGTACAGCAAGAACAAAGAAATGGGGAATTCACTAGGTGGGCCAACATGTGGGGCGAGGGTCAGGCCACCTTGGAGTGTGCTCACAAGGCTTGAGCTGATGATCGTATGGGTTCATCATGCCTTTACCAAGGTCGCCAAGTAAATCCCCAAGCCAGAACTCTCCTCATACATGAACAGTGGCAAAAGCATATCTACTGTCAGTGTATAAATGTTGACAGTCTTATCCTCTCCCAGTCTTAGGCCTGAATCAAGGCTATCAGTTCGACCTTTTGTGCAGAGGTTCCTTTGGTCAGGGCTTCCACCCATAGGACATCCTCCTTGGTGGCTACTGCCGCCCCTGCATACCTGACTCCCATCTTTCATGTAACTACTCCCGTCTGTGTATGTCACCAAGTCAGGGTTATTCCATGGTATGTCGGTGAGATCAGGTCGGCTTCCCTGAACATGCTGCAGCAGTTTGGAGCAATCGTGATGCACAACTGTCTCACACTCAGTTTCAGGGAGCAGGGATGCAGGGTTTAAGTAGGCACTGGTCACCGCATATATCAGGCGGGGCACATCTAGTAGGAGAGACTGGTAGTGAGTTAATCTTGCATTTGTGAGCCAGCGATCAGGTGGTGCCTTCAGCACCCTTTCAATAGTGTGGGAGGTGGTCACAATCAGTAGTTGTCCCAAAGTGAGCTTATCAGCATCCTTAACTATGACTTCAGTGGCCACTATGATTTTCAGACAGGCTGGACCCTCCCCGTGCCCAAATCAACAGTCCTTTTGGTGGTCCAGGGGTAAGAATGGCTACCCGTGACCCCTTGAATAAAAGTTTGTCGTCCTGTCAGGGGCCCAAGGGGTCTTTTCAGAACTGAAAAGGTGGTGCCAGTATTGACCAGAAAGTCAATAGGCCTCCCCCTACCTTCAGGGTTAGCTGGGGCTCAGGGAGGGGTGACGAGCCCTGACCCCCCTCAATCTTTTAACTTAAGTAACTTTTGAAATCCCTTGTGTTTCCAAGGACAATCTCTTATCCAGTGTCCCACCTCCTTGCAGTAGGCACATTGGTCTCTCTTTAGGGGGCCGGCTCGAGGGCCCGGTCCCCTCTGCCAATTCTGATATCTGGGCAGATATCTTTTGGGGGGCGTTTACCCTCTCTTAGAGCCAAAGCCCGTGCCAGTTTTCGATTGTGACGTTTCTCACGTTCCTCCTGGGTCTCATGGTTATTGAAGACTTTTTGGGCGATTTCAAGAAATTCTGAGAGACTCTTACCTTTGAAGCCTTCCAACTTTTGCAATTTCTTCTGGATATCAGGTGCAGACTGGGTCACGAAGGTGATATTTATTGCTCGTTGATTTTCAGGTGCCTCTGGATTGATGGGAGTATAAGCTCGCTAGGCTTCCATCAATCTCTCCAGGACCTGTGATGGGGCCTCTGTTGGTCCCTGCAAAACCTAACTGACTTTTGACAAATTTGTAAGCCTTTTAGCAGTGGCTTGGAGGCTCCCTATAAGAATCTGGTGATAGAGTCTGAATGAATCCCTAGCTGCAAAGGTGTGGGGATCCCAATCTGGGTGGCGGCAAGGGAAAATTTCCTCAATCACCTCAGGATCCTCAGTAAATCAGCTATTTTTGGCTGGCACCCATTTCTGGGCCTTGGAGAGGATCCGGCTGAAATCCTCAGTGGTGAAGGGGGTGAGAAGGAGTTGTTGGACATCATCCCAGATGGGCTGGTGAGTAAGAAAGATAGTCTCCAGGAGCCCAATTAAAGCCTGGGGTTTTTCAGAGAAAGGAGGATTTTGTAATTTCCAATTATAAAGATCACTGGTTGAGAAAGGAGAATAAACAAGAAAACTGTGGCCAGAGGAATCTGGTGGGGCTATAGCAGAGAGGAGAAGGATGGCAGGGGTCAACTCAGGCCTATAGGGCTGGCCTGAACATGTGTGGAGAGGGGTAAGGAGTGGAGGGATGGTCAGAGAAGGAGGAGTGGCAGTAGAGGCAGGAGAAGGAGGAGAGGCAGGAGAAGAAGGGGGAGCAGACAGGGGGGAGAATAAGTGGGAGGATCTAAAAGGGGGTCCTCCATTGAAGGGGAAGGGCAGGAGGTGGGTGAGACTGATGAAGTGGCTGTTGGGGCCCCAGAGACAGAAGGGAGGGCTTTGAGGGAGAAGGGGGTAAATGGGGTTTTAACCATTTGGGAGGCTTGTCTAAGAGGTAAAAATAAGCCATAATATAGGGGACCTGGTCAGGGTGTTCTGAGTTTCTGAAGATCATGGCCTGAACAGAAGAAAGTTTGTTAACATCAAAGGACCCAGTGGGTGACCAGTCACCATCAAAAGATGGCCATTCTAGAGAACAAAGGATATGTAATTTCCCTGACTAGACAGTGTCTCCAGAGATTGCAGCTGCCTTCTGGAAATCCATAAAATGAGAAAGAATTGGGCCAGGCGTGGTGGCGCATGCCTTTAATCCCAGCACTTGGGAGGCAGAGGCAGGTGGCT